CCATTATTCTGAATTCTTTTTCAGGTAGACTGCCTATTTCCTCTTCATTTGTTTGCTCTGGTGGGTTTTTACCTTGCTCCTTCATCTGCTGCATATTTCTCTGTTTTCTCATTTTGTTTAATTTCCTGTGTTTGGGGTCTCCTTTTCGCAGCCTGCAGGTTCATAGTTCCCATTGTTTTTGGTGTCTGTCCCCAGTGGCTGAGGTTGGTTCAGTGGCTTGTGTTGGCTTCCTGGTAGAGGGGACTGGTGCCTCTGTTCTGGTGGGTGGGGCTGGATCTTGTCTTTCTTGTGGGCAGAGCCACATCTGGTGGTGTGTTTTGGGGTGTCTGTGAACTTAGTATGACTTTAGGCAGCCTCTCTGCTAATGGGCAGGGTTGTGTTCCTGTCTTGCTAGTTGGTTGGCATGGGGCATGGAACACTGGAGCTTGCTGCCAGTTGCGTGGAGCTGGGTCTTAGCATTGAGATGGAGATCTCTGGGAGAGCTCTCGCCGATTGATTTATATTATGTGGCGCTGGGAGGTCACTGGTGGTCCAAAGTCCTTAACTCAGCTCTCCCACCTCAGAGGCTCAGGCCTGACACCAGGTCAGAGCACCAAGACCCTGTCAGCCACATGGCTCAGAAAAAAGGGAGAAAACAAGAATGAAAAAGAGAATAATAATAGATGAAAAAAATTATTTAAATAAATAATAAAAAAAAGAAGAGAGCAACCAAACCAATAAACAAATCCACCAATGATAACAAGCGCTAAAATCTATACTGAGATAAACATAAAAATTAGAAACAAATAAGTCGCAGACAGCAAACCCCAAGTCTGCAGTTGCTCCCAAAGTCCACCTCCTCAATTTGGGATGATTCGTTGTCTATTCAGGTATTCCACAGATGCAGGGTACATCAAGTTGATTGTGGAGATTTAATCCGCTGCTGCTGAGGCTGCTGGGAGAGATTTCCCTTTCTCTTCTTTGTTAGCACAGCTCCTGGGGCTCAGCTTTGGATTTGGTCCCAACTCTGCGTGTAGGTTGCCTGAGGGCGTCTCTTCTTCACTCAGACAGGACGGGGTTAAAGGAGCCGCTGATTCGGGGGCTCTGGCTCACTCAGGCCGGGGCGGGGGGGAGGGCGGGGCACGGAGTGCGGGGCGAGCCTGCGGCGGCAGAGGCCGGCGTGACGTTGCACCAGCCTGAGGCGCGCCGTGCGTTCTCCTGGGGAACGGGACCCTGGCAGTGGCGGGCTGCACAGCCTCCCTGGAAGGGGGGTGTGGATAGTGACGTGTGCTCGCACACAGGCTTCTTGGTGGCGGCAGCAGCAGCCTTAGCATCTCATGCCCGTCTGTGGGGTCCCGGCTGATAGCCGCGGCTCGCGCCCATCTCTGGAGCTCCTTTAAATGGCGCTCTTAATCCCCTCTCCTCGCGCACCCCGAAACAATGGTCTCTTGCCTCTTCTGTAAGTCCAGACTTTCTCCCGGACTCCCTCCCGGCTAGCTGTGGCGCACTAGCCCCCTGCAGGCTGTGTTCACGCCGCCAACCCCAGTCCTCTCCCTGAGCTCCGACCGAAGCCCGAGCCTCAGCTCCCAGCCCCGCCCGCCCCGGCGGGTGAGCAGACAAGCCTCTCGGGCTGGTGAGTGCCGGTCGGCACCGATCCCCTGTGCGGGAATCTCTCCGCTCTGCCCTCCGCGCCCCTGTTGCTGCGCTCTCCTCTGTGGCTTCGAAGCTCCCCGCTCCGCCACCCGCAGTCTCCGCCCGCGAAGGGGCTTCCTAGTGTGTGGACACCTTTCCTCCTTCACAGCTCCCTCCCACTGGTGCAGGTCCCGTCCCTATTCTTTTGTCTCCGTTTTTCCTTTTTTCTTTTTCCGTAAAAGAAATACTTGTGGAGTATACTTGTGGAGTTTCTTGCCTTTTGGGAAGTCTGAGGTCTTCTGCCAGCATTCAGTAGGTGTTCTGTAGGAGTGGTTCTATATGTAGATGTATTTTTGATGTAGTTGTGGGGAGGAAGGTGATCTCCATGTCTTACCTCTCCACCATCTTGAAGGTCCTCCCTGACGAATGAGTTTTAACATCAAGGAGTTTGAAAAGTTCATTGATACAGTTTTCAGATTCCATATTGAAACTAACCAAGTTAGTTTGATATATTATCAAAAGTTAATATCCCCAATTATATAAAAAGTCTGTTAAGAAAGTCCTCCCTTTGCTAACTGTATATATATTTGATTCATAAATTTCAATCTAAACAACATATCTCGGGCTTCCCTGGTGGCGCAGTGGTTGAGAGTCCGCCTGCTGATACAGAGGACACGGGTTCGTGCCCCGGTCTGGGAAGATCCCATGTGCCGCGGAGCGGCTGGGCCCATGAGCCATGGCCGCTGAGCCTGCGCGTCCGGAGCCTGTGCTGCACAGCGGGAGAAGCCACAACAGTGAGAGGCCCGCGTACAGCAAAAAAACAAAAAAACAAAAAAAAACAAAACTCAGCAGATTGAAGAAGCAGATATGAGAATCCAGCTATATTCTATTAAGGCAGCTGTGAAAGAAATTTACAAAAATGTAAAACAATGCCATTATTCTCATTAATTGTTTTTGTGTTGGAGAATATAGTTATTTTTTATAATAACAATTTATGTTAACTTGTAATGGGTTTGTTATTTTTAAGTGAGTTAATATATATTTTTGAAATTTCTTGGTTTTAATTTCTCATGTGGCCAGTATTGATTGATAGGTATCACCCACGTAAAAAGTGCTCTTCCTCACTACATTTTAGAACATGAAAGGATCCTGAGGTCAAAAAGTTTGAGACCACCGCTCTCAATAAAATACACATTGGTATATTTTATTCCTGAAATTGTTCCTTGTTTCAAAGAACAAGCCCAATTCCCTCCAAGATGTACAAGAACTTATGAAGGAGACAATAACTAAATCTATCAAAGGATGTAGACTACAGCACAGGTACCATACTTGTTAGTGCTGTCACTGTAGCTGGCTAGGGTCCCCCCCCAATCTGATTGAGTGGGCATTGCTCCATGAACAAGCATCTGAATTCACCCATCCATTTAACAGACAGTTGTTCAGGGCCTCCTGTTTTCCAGGCACTGTGGTAAGTGGTAGGGGTGCAAAACAGAACAAGACAGTAGCTTCTAGGCAGAATGTGGAAGTTAAGATGAGTTCGTGCCTGTCTATGACCACCACTGGATAGCTGTGATGAGAAAATATTTGGGGCCATGAGATTATAATGATCCATTGAGAAGAAAAAGGTCGTGAAAGGTCAGGAAAATCAAACTTTAGACTAGTCTGAAATGCTAATAACACTAGGAACAAGTGAAGTTTTTTATATAGCTTGGGTGGCTTGCCTGCAACATACTTTTTGAGACCACACATATGCATAACATATAGGTTTTCCCCCTTCAAGAAACTTGCAGCCCAGTGGTGGTAACAAAGTAGAGTTAAAAAAGTTGTGTTTTGGGACTTTTCATGGTGGTCCAGTGGGTAGGACTCCACACTCCCAATGCAGCGGACCCTGGTTCCATCCCTGGTTGGGGAAGTAGATCCCACGTGCATGCTGCAGCTAAGAGTTTGCATGCCACAACTAAGAAGTCCTCATGCCACAACAACGAAAAGCCCGAGTGCCGCAACTAAGACCTGGCACAGCCAAAAATAAATAAATATTTTTAAAAAGAAAAGGAAAGTTGTGTTTCAATAACATGAGGCAATCATATCAAATGCTGCACAGATGTCAAGTAGGTAGGTCATAGGTGAAAGCAGCACCAAGCGGTTGAATTTTCAACGTTGTGTTAAGGAAGACAAATTACTGCTTAAGAAAAAGTCAGATAAAGCAGTGAGATGGAATGGAGCACATTATAATAGTTTCCAAAGATAAACAGCAGTGAACTCAAAGAAGAGGCTCTGGTTTTCTTTAGGCTGTTTATTGTACAGCCTTTAATTCACTATTAGGGAAGAGAAGATCCAGGAAACAAGGCTTGGGAGAATGAGCACCAAATGTAGCCTTTCCCTGCCTTTAATCAGACTAAATAACAAGGGCAGGTGTAAAGAGCAAGATTATTGGATCCAAAGATGGCAAAAGGGAGAGAAACTGTCTTTTTGGCCCTCACTGGCCACCCTTATTCCTTGCCATGAGATAAGGAAAGAATATTCCTTCTCCCAGTAGCTGGTTACCTTCAAGTCTTAGATCGTAATACAGGCGGTGGGACTGAGCGATAAGAAAGGACAATGCAGGCTAAGAAAAGGATGTGTCTCTTTTCCCCTTTTCCCAGAGCCTCAGTGCACCCTATTCATTTATCCTCTGTCATTTAGATAGAGTTAGGTGTTTCCAGAGAAAACTGATTCCTCAGAGGATAAGTTTGAGGTTCACAGTGAAATTTAGGAAATAGAGAAAAAAATCAAGTCAAAAGCACAGGAGCCAAAAAAAGAGGGAGGGAAAAAAAAAAAATTGAAGTTCTCCCCAACACCTCCTCCCCACAATGAGATTGTCCCTTTTACAAGAAAAGGACCAGTGACAAAGTCGTTTACCTTCCACAGGGAGCAAGCAAAAGGCTTTACAAATAGGGCTTAGTAAATAATTAATACAAACCAATGCTGAGGATACACTTAAAAAAATAGTTTGAAGCAAAAACCCAAGATGATAAGATAAATAGCAAAAACATTTTAAAGGATGGGCTCTGCTCTTTCTGGCATCTTTGTGCTCTGTTTAGGGGAAGGGAGACACCAGGAAATAACGGGTGGCTCTGGTCATGCTCTCTCTGGTCCATGTGGAGCTAAAGGGCACCCACTGATTAGACAAGAGTTAGTAAAGGTACTTGCTTTTTTGACATGGGGCTCCTTATTTCCTCAACTGGTGGATTTCTCAATGGCTTGTGAAAACTCTGAGGTGCTGTGACAGCTCCTGGACTGATTCAGACCACTGAATCCGACGAGTTGAAGCAGAATTTCAAATGCTGTTAACAATGCAGTATGTTGTGCATAAAGATAAATTAATTCACCAGTAATCTCTCTTTTCTCAGAAACATGATTCCAGTGACAGAGTTCCGGCAGTTCTCTGAGCAGCAGCCTGCCTTCCGGGTTCTGAAGCCATGGTGGGATGTATTTACCGATTACTTGTCCGTGGCCATGCTGATGATCGGTGTGTTCGGATGCACTTTGCAGGTAGGCCCCTAGAGTCATGTCAAAACAGAGCCAGGGGCTTCCCTGGTGGCGCAGTGGTTGAGAGTCCACCTGCCGATGCAGGGGACACGGGTTCGTGCCCCGGTCCGGGAAGATCCCACATGCCGCAGAGCAGCTGGGCCCGTGAGCCGTGGCCGCTGGGCTTGCGCGTCCGGGGCCTGTGCTCCACAACGGGAAAGGCCACAACAGTGAGAGGCCCGCGTACAGCAAAAAAGCAAACAAACAAACAAACAAAAAAAGCAGAGCAAGACACTAAGCCGTTGAAACCTCTTTAAAAAGAATGCGTGATTTTTAACCATGTATATATTAGTTGCTCTTCTGTACTTATGCATGGTGTTTGTAATCATGGCAGGGAGCCTGAAGCCTGATTTCCCAAACTTTCCTAATTAGGTAAATATGGTACTTGTAAGATTTAACTGAGCTCAAAGAGCAGTTGACTATAGTCAAGTAATATTTGATGTCACAAACATCAAAGGGAGCCCTTTATCTTTCAAAGTTGGTTTTATATCCACAGCAAAATACAGAATATAGCAAAATATATTATGTATAGCCAGAGTGCCATTTATATTGTTAAAATGGAATGTTTTTCTTTATCTCTTATATTTACCCCTGATAAGATTTTCTGGAAGGACTGACATTGTGATATTATCTTACCCAATGCTTAGTTCTGAATTAAATTGTAACTGAATCGTAATTTGTTCTATATAGATACTGTATATTCATATATTGAATCCAGATTTCTTTGCAAACCTATGTATCAGGCACCATACTTTGAGGACATATATACCTATAAGCAGTTCATTTCTAGGGGGAAACTAAATAAACAAACAACAGAAAAGGTTATACTGTGCTAGAGGCTTCTGAAAAGCTCTGTGCGAGTCCAAAGGAGAGGAACAAGAGAAATGGTTGTATTAAAACTTGAGAACCAGTCAGGAAAAGGGAGCTGGGGATGAAGAAAGTGCCAGGAAGAGGAAGGAAAGCTCCAAGTCATGGATGTGAGAAAGGACACGACGTCTCTAGGAAACAGTCATTAGGACTGACACCCTTTGGGTGTCATCAGCATGAGAGTTGAAGCCATGCCCGGGAATGGAGTCACCCCAGGAGAATGTGGTTGGTGAGATGATGTCAGCAATAACAGTAAAGAGTGAATGAATGAAAAGGAGACTCCTCTGGAGAAGGCTGAGGAGGGGCAGCCATAAGGATGGAGGGAAACCAAGAGAGAGGAGGGGCTCAGGTGTGGTCAGTGATGGCAGGTGGTTCAACTAACTCACGGGCTAAGGGGAGAAAAGCAGCAACTAGGGCATTAGAAATCTTAGTGTCACTGGTTGGAAAAGTGAATGGGAGTTAAAGACTTATGGAACTTTCAAGTAGATCATCTGAGAGGAAGGAGAGCCAGGAGAGAGGGAGATAGCTAGAAGTGGTGCAGAGGAGAAATAAAGACCTTTTTAATGTTGATTTTAATAATAGTTAACATCTAGTGCTTCCTACGTATCAGGCACTCTTCTGAACACTTTACACATGTTTTAAATCATTTCATCCTCATGCCAACCCTAGGATATACTATTATTATCCCCGTTTATAGATGGAAAACTAAGGCACAGAAAGATTAGAGAAAGTTCCAAGGTGAGTAGCAAAACCCTTATTGAAGTCCAAGCAGTTTGGCCCCAAAGTCCCTATCCTTAATCCCTAACACCATGCTGCTTTTTATCTGTGGGCTGAAAATATCTCACCCTCCTCCCCCCACCAAAAAAAAAAAAGGATGCCAGTGAAAAACTAGAGTTTGAAAGAGAGAAAGGGCATTAATTCATTCATAAATCAAACAAATAGTTGTTGAAGAATCTACTATGTGCCAGGCATTGTTCTAGGGGCCAAGCATTATCAGTGCAGGAGGAAAGAAATAAAAGACAAATATCCCAGCCTTATAGAACTTAAATTATGTGGCGGAAAAAAACAAGCAAAATAAGCAAAATCAGTTGGTAAATTATATATGTTAGAAGGTAATAAGGACAATGAAAAAGAAAATAAAGCATACGAGGATGGTAGGAGATCACAGCAGGTGAGATTAGGAGTTGTGGTTCTCAAATAGGGTGGCCTCACTGGGAGGTGACTTTTGAGGAGGGTACTAAAGTCAGTGCGGGAGCGGGCCTTGCAGATGTCCTGGGAGTGGGCCTTGCAGATGTCCCGGGAGCGGGCCTTGCAGATGTCCCGGGAGGAGCCATCCAGACAGAGGGAACAGAAAGAGCAAGAGACACGATGAACAAAGCAGTCACAGGACCCCTCCCCTTCTGCAGGAGAATTTGACATTTGGCTTTCTCAGCTTTCTAGCTCAGCTTCCCCGGGAGCTTGATAAAGGTAGAATGTTAACTGTGTTACTAGGCAACATTGCTTATGGCATAAATGGCTGCTGATTGGTCAACTGCGTCTGGGCTGGGAGAATGATAAGTGCCTGGTAGGAAGCCATAGATGGGATTTCTGTGACTGTGGTGACACTTGTAACTGGGCATGTCCCTTGATACATGGAAGGTGTATCTATTGAGTTACAAGAGCTATTGGCTCCTTTGGAGCATAAGGCATCGAAGCCAGAGTAAATCCGGAATCTGCCTACAGTGGATCTCTTCTTCTTGCACCTGAGATGATCGTGGAGAAGCCTGGGGAGAGACTAGCTCCTGGGCAGCGGTGTGGACCACCACACAGGCAGTTGGGAAGATTCCCCCAAAGGGGGAGAGTCTGATGCTGCCTGGCTGACAAGCTGTGACTCCAATCCTGTTTCTTTCCAATGATTCTGGTACCAAATGAGGTTTATGATAATACTATAAGTTTGAATGTTGAGATGATCCTAGGAAGACCCCTGGTGATGTCACAGGCCTGAAGCATGGGTATTCCTCGCATGTTGAGGGAAAAGCCAGGTGGCCAGTGGGCTACAGCAGAGTGACGAGAAGAGTGATAGAAGAATGAGGCCTGAGAGGTAACAGCTGCCGGATCATGTAGGGCCTGGAGGCCACTGTAAAGGTTTTGTCCTTTGCTCTGACAAGGGTGGGACATGTTTGGAGGGTTGGCATTATCTGACTTAGGTTTTGACAAGACCACTCTAGGTGTTGAAAATACAGTATGGGGGGCGAGAACGGAAGCAGGGAGATTACTGAGAAGGCTAGTGCAGTAATCCAGGGAAGACATGAATCAGGTGTCTTGGACCAGGACTGAAGCCATGGTTCTGGATATATCTTGAAGGAAAAAACATTAAGACTTGCTAGAAGATTGAACTGAGCGTGAGTGATATGTATGAGAGGAAAAGAGAAATCAAGAATGGCTCTTAAGATTTTGGGGCCTGAGCCACTTGGAAAAAGTTTGTTTTTGAGCATGTTGAGTTTGAAATATGTTAGATATCCAAGTGGAGAAGTAAGCAGTTGGATATATGACCCAGTAGTTCAGGGTAAGAGAAGAATGGTCATCTTCAGGAGGAAGGATGTGATGGATCCAGGATCCAGGTGGGATTATCCTTGATTTGGGTGGAGGGTGTACCTTCCACAAGAATAGTAATGATGGCTACAGATGCATTTTATTGCAGGAGAGGAGAGGCACAGTAAGGTGGGAGTGTGTGCCTTGTAGCTTCTGTGAAATAGTAAGTGACACATCTGCTGAGAGATTGTGAGGTAAGGGAGGTAGCAGGATGTGGCAACAAGGTAGGTAGTAGAGAAGGGCGAATTTTGGAATGGCAAGTTTGGGAAATAGCAGAGGGAGGTGACATAGATCTGCAGGAGGACTCTACGTCTGTCTTTATTACTGTGCCACGCACAGCACCAGCACTGCCACAGGACCTGCTTATGAACAAGCACAGGAGTCGTTTCTCCTTTCTGTTTTTTAATTTTTAATTTTATATTGGAGTACGTAGTCGTGTCTCTTGTTTACTTATTCCATAGCAGGATGAAATGCAGAAAAGAGAAACCACACAGAGTATCTATAAGAACTAGTAGCTAACTTGGAACAAAATAAATGAAAATGGTAGTGTGGACCTATGAAAATGTCTATGATGAACATCATTTAGGGATGTGGCCACAGTGAGTTCAGAAGGGGATTCAAGAACAACTTAAGCATCTCTTCCTGAGCCCTGGTCAGAACCATCTTCCTGGAGCACAGCCCCCGTCACGTCTCTCTGCTGCACAGAAGCATCCCATTTAGCACGCTGCCCAGCACGCTTAGTACCTGCTCCTCAGATGGGTGACCTAATCTGGACACTTCACACACAGGCCTGTTTTATCCTTACAGCCTTTAAGAAGAATATGGACACCAGTTGACTGGGTACAGGAAGTGTAGTCTGAGATATCAAGATTCTAAAAAATGTGAAATACCCTAAAGGAAGATTCCATCAGAATATGAAGGTTACCAGGCTCAGAATTCATATGCGGTGGACCATTTGTTCAACAAACATCCCTAAGCACCCGAGATATGTCAGGCATTATGTGGGGTGCTCGAAACACTGAAAGAGAAATACAGTACAGCCCCTGCCGTCATAGTCTACAGACTGTACAAATACAGAAGCAGTGCCATTTGGTGTGTAAGCGCCTTTATGGTGATAGATTTCAAGAGCGTTAAATATGATGTCATCTCAGCTACTGGAAGTTAGGGACTTGAGGAGGTGAATTTGAGCTAATTCTCAAAGAATGAGTATACAAAGCCAAAATATACATTTTAAAAAAAAGAGGAATGGAAGAAAAAATCAGCAATAGGTTTAGTGTGATCATTTCACAAAGCCCTCATTTTGGGTCCTCACGGCATTTTCGGGGGCATCCTGCACTGGGTGGGGCATTCCCACAGAATCCAGGATGCTAATAGCACTCGCATTGAGTGACACTGGTAAGGAACCTGTGCTACCTGTGTGTAGAATCCTTATGTACTTTATTTAGCTCCCAGAAAGACCCTTGGGGAGTAGATTAGTCCCATCTTTCAGGTGAGAATTCTCATCTGAAAGGTTAGGTAATGCCCCC